CGCTTTACATTTGGGGAAGGGTAGACAGACAAGGACAGGCAATAAAACAACAAAACAAAAAACAAAAACAAAACAGAAAAACAAAAAACAAAACAGAAAAGCAGTCAGGAGGAAGTTGGTTGAGAGGGGGGGGGGGCTTATGGATATACAGACTTGAAGAGATGGGTTTTGAGGCGGGACTGGAACAGGGTGAGGGACTCAGACTCACGGAGGTCTTGGGGGAGGGAGTTCCAGAGCTTCGGGGCTGCCACAGAGAATGCTCTGTCCCCAAAGCTCCGGAGTTTGGCCTTGGGGATGGAAAGCAAACCGGCTGAGGTGGATCTGAGGGACCGGGGTGGTTGGTAGAGGATGAGGAGGTCAGTGAGGTAGGGGGGGGGGGCCAGGTGGTGGAGGGCTTTGTAGGTGAGTACCAGGAGTTTGTATTGGATGCGGTGTGAAACGGGGAGCCAGTGAAGTTCTTTGAGGACCGGGGTGATATGATGCCATGATTTGGTGTGGGTGAGGAGTCTGACGGCTGCGTTCTGGACACGCTGAAGTCTATTGAGGGATGTAGTGCTGATGCCGTAGAGGAGTGCGTTGCAATAGTCCAGGCGGGAGGAGATGAAGGCGTGAATGAGTCGCTCAGCTGCGGGGCGGGTGAGAGAGGGACGGAGTTTGGCAATATTGCGGAGGTGGAAAAATGAGGTTTTTACAACTTGGCGGGTGTGGGGCTCGAGGGAGGGATCAAATATCACGCCAAGGTTGCGTGCCTGGGTGGAGGGGGAAACAGGGGTGCCATCGATGGTGAGTGTCAGGTTGGGGGTTTTGGAGCCGATGAGGAGGAGTTCAGTTTTATTGGTGTTGAGTTTGAGGAAGTTGTGTGCCATCCAGGATTTTATAGCAGTCAGACAGGATTCGATGTGGGTGAGGGGGGGGTTGTGGGGGGATTTGGTATATTAATGAGATTCTGTACGGTGCACATTTTATACGTCATACTTTAATGAACTTACCATTTTTACAATGAATAAGGTCCTCTATCAGAGGCTTGGCAACATCCTCAAACAACTCCAGTTGATTGGTATTAATACCAAATGCTTTTTTAAATGAGTACTGTGTCTGAAGGATGAAAAACAAAAACAAAAAGAGAACATGTGAATGGCATTCAACAGAAAATGTAGTACATTGCATTATAATAATAATAATATGTTAAACCTGTTAAAGAAAGGCTCAGGTGTCGGTTTGAAAAAGCGTTACTAAAATATAATTGTGGATTTGTTCAGTACGGCTGTATGATTTTTTTATTTGCTGAAAAATAACCATACAACGGACTTGTAAAACCATGTGGGTCATTTCTAGGGCTGTGCATCTTCACTGGTCTCACAATTCGATTACGATTATCCTGTCAACGATGCATACCAATGCGCTGCATCCTCAATTTTCTATATTACTGCACATGGCTTATTTTTCATCAATGCATACATGCAGTAAATACATATGAACTCTCTTTTTATTATTTAGAAAGTGCTTCAGAAATCAATAACATAAATGTCTTGACATTAATTTATAAACCAAAATTAATTAATTGTATAGGTCTAGCCTCCCTATGTGTGTGAAATTGTTCCATCCTCAAAAACTAAAAACTAATGCTTCTGCAGTCTAGCTGCAGCTTCTAGCAACGGTCTTCTGTTAAAAAAAGGACACTGAATGTCCTGAATGTGGCATCACACACAGGACTTGAGTCTGAACACAGCAGACAACAGGAGTATTTACAACAGCATATACAAACAAAAATAGTGCATGTGGGTGCACACTTACATTCTCTGTCTTACTGTTACATAAATCCCATGAATGTATGAGATTAAGTTAGCTTCATTATATCTCAATCAGTGATTAAGTGAATAATAAAGTTTCTATCGGGTCACTATCAGCCTGTCACTCATTATTTTCAGGGAGGGGGCGGGGTTTGGAGGAACAGAGAGGAGACGTGATCGCGGAAGCTTTTTTCCTCCTGCCTTCACAAACTTTACACACGTATATATCGTCTGAAAATTGCTAGAGGACATTCATACTCTGCAATCCAAGACTTAATTAAATCCACCAAAAACCTGACATGATTGTAACGCAATTATTTTTGAAAAACATAAATCCTTGTGTCTCTGAGCCGCAGCGACACGGAGTGATTCAGAGCGGGTCCTTCTGCTGTTGGTTCTGGACTGGTGTTCTTGTGTTGGTGGATAAAGCAGACTGCTCCGTGTTTGGTGCCGCTGTGCCGCTGTCACGTCTGTTCCCTGATCTCTGCATCACCGACCGATTTGATATTAAAGTGACAGAAAAAAAAACGTTATAGTAAAGCCGCGGCCCGCTTTCAGGAAGCAACGTTACTACGCTATAATCGATTATCTTCCGTCACTGCATCGATACCGGATCGTCCACGTCCGCATCGCAATGCATCGTAGAAGCGATTATTTTCAACACCCCTAGTCATTTCACAAAATGACTTGTCTTAGTAGAAAGCTGGTATTTCTAAGGTCAACAGAAATATATGTATCAGGTGCATTTCCTTATTCTTTGCACACTCACCTCTTTGTATTCCCCGTTGCGGTTGGCTTTAAGGCCGTCAGGAGCATGCAGCTGAATAGTGGAGTTGCTGATCATCTCAAGACAGCATTCCTCATCTTCTGCTCCGAGTGGACGAATACGGCAGTATACCTACAAAGATGAAAGAACAGATTTAGTTTAGTGTGATGAAGCCACCACAACTGCCAAACCGTAAGACTAAATTAGCCTATGATGTTGCCACAAACTCCATGTTTGTAGATAAAGTCCATACATGTCTAGTTCATTACATGTTACTTGTTAGATCATTACATGTCACTTGTTAGACGCTTTTATCCAAAGCGACTTACATACTCAATACTGTGGACAATCCCCACAGGAGCAATTTGGGGTGAAGTGTCTTGCCCAGGAACACAACGACATGCTGACTGCAGTGGGGTTTGAACCTGTGACCCCCTGATCCCAACACCAAGGCTCTATTCACTGCGCCACACGCCTCCATTTCAGACATAAATGTGATTTTATGTTGTGACTGTAAGAATCATTAGATTAAAACAACATCAATTCAGTTTTAGTTTAGTGTTGTGGTCAATTGTCTATGTGGTTGTCTCATGAGGGCTTGACACAAGCAGCCCTCTTACTGTAACTTTAGGGTGACATTGTTTAAGTTTCAGGAATGTCAAAGTAAGCAGTGTTCACTTACTCCAACAGGATCTTTATCTATGTTGGCTGCCTTTTTAGGGCCAGGCCTCCGAGGAGTCTTCCCTTTGCTGCAAGTGATACAGAAATATAGAATCAAGGTCAACAGAAAAACATATATGCTAAATGACATAATAATACTAATATACATTACATTTATTAGACACTTACAACTTTCCACAGAGCCAGGAACACACTATGGTCTTAGATATACTTTTTTCATATTAACTGAGGGACGAAGGCCAAACCAGGCCGAAACAGTACATATGTGATCACATTGATGTGGATGGCAAAAGGGTCAGCATACTTAAGGCCATATGGCGTCCGTGTAATATTCAGAGGTAGGAGAAGTACTCAGATCTTGTACTTAAGTAAAAGTAGAAGTACCAGAGTATAGGAATACTCTGTTACAAGTACAATTTCTGCATTCCAATTGTTTCTCAATTAAAAGTAGAAAAGTATTAGCAAATATACTTAAAGTATCAAAAGTTTAAGTACTCATTATGCAGATTTGCCCATCTCAGAATAATATATATTATATGTTTTGATTATTATTATAGATGCATTCATGTGTTATCAAAGCTGGTAAAGGTGCAGCTAGTTTTAATGACATTGTATACTGAATGTTACTCAAGGTGTAACTAAAGTCTTATTTAAGTGTTGATAATATTTCACATTATTGATCCAAATTAGTGGATTAGTAGTAGAGTACACCGTGTACCTCTGAATTGTAGTGGGATAAAAGTACAAAGTAGCAAAACAATGAAATACTCAAGTACCCTCAAGTCCAAATCCCACAAAAGTGTACTTAATTACTAACACCACTGATAGTATATTCTATGATATGTATATATTAAAACCGTCCTATCGTATAACCTACGCTGCCTAGCTATGTTAGCTCAGGTGTCACCAGCTAACGACAACTCACAGGTAACGGAAGAAAAAACATGAACATTGACATTTGCCACTTTACATTTAACATAAACAAAGCTCGACTACGTGTTTTTCTCTTTCACAGAGTTACAACAAGAACTGGTGTAATATTATCTTTAATGTTAGTGTTCTCATACACCGATATTGACCAGTTGGCAACAGTGACTAACGTCAGCAGGCTAGAACGAGGGCTAACGTTATGCTAACATGAGAAGCTAATACTATTTTACTACAGAACAAGCGCTAGCAGAATACCTTATATACCTCTCTCATTTTGCTAACACAATGCTAAGTTGTACATTGTTTGCCAGTTAGGTAGCTCAATATAAATATAAAAACACGGTGATACTCACTTTGGTCTTTGCATTGTTTGTGTTGTTATACTCCTCTCCACTGAACACAGAGCGCCTCTTCTCGATTTGAAAATTCCCTCTGTGACACGTTTCCCTGAGTGTCATATATTTTAACCAATCACACAGCAGACATGGCGGTCAGTAGCGGAAGTCCCGCCCCTTAACATCTAGCCCGATGTTACTTGGCTGAATCCATATATTTTGTATCATGTTTCAAAGATTAAAATAAAGTGTAGAAAGAATTTCATATTTCAGTTGAACATATTGAAAAAATATAATTTTAACGCCTAATATGTATATATGCAACAGCAATTTATATCTAAAAAAAACAAAGAACATCACATAAGAACCAAAACAAAGAAGATCAAATGCATGAGGGAGATGTAAAGATAGTTTAAAGATTGTTTTTCATGTTGTGTTGACTGTTACTTTAAAAAAGAAAAACGAAAGGCATTTTTGGTAAAAGGTTTATTTGAAAAACAATAATAAATAATATTGCACATAAATACTTTTCAGTTTTGCATCATTAAGGCACAATGTGGCACGTTTCCAAATTATACAGGGACAGAAACAGCCATCATATGAGGGAAATAAACTACTCTGTATTTACTCTGTGTTACATATAATACATTAACAGTCATTTCAATCTAACTTCATTAAGCTGCTTCTTTGAAGGCATCTCATAAATTCTCTTCCCTTGTCAATACGTTTCATGTCTTATGCGAATGATGTGCATATGCACTCACAAGCACTTTAAATGCATCACTACAACTAAATTGACAGTGATGTCAGCATTTTTAATTTGACATGGCAACAAATTGCTTATAAACATATACAGCAGTGCCTCATAGTGTAGTTAACATCCTACATTTGTATTTTTTTAAACAGATAATTTCCAGTTTGTGCAAGTTATCATTTTAAGTTTACTGACTCATGTAACAGCAATCATCCCATGATGTCTGTAGACCAAACACCACCATAACTTTAATGCAGATCAGCTCCTCTTTGCTCAGGAGTCTTCTTTAAAATGTTTGTATGTCCCCCTATTGCACTCTTTTTGACATGTCTGCAATGCATGTGTTGTGAAGTGCTGGGAATCCTTAGCCGTTGCTTATGGAGCCAGAGGTTCAGCAGCAGGGGCAACTCTTAGCTGATACTTTCTTCAGACCACTATAATGTTGCTTTTCTTTACAGACTGGAGCAGAGAGGAGAGGTAGACTGAAGAGGATGATGATAGTCAGATTCACCACCACACAGAGCAGCCCTGCACCCACTGAGTTGGAAAAGGTGATGGGTATGGAGTTTTGAAGGAGCCAGGGGCTGCGTGTCATCATGTCCTGTTCAATGGCCTTCATCTGGAAGTGTGTGCCGAGGATACCGCACACATGGAAGAGTTGATGGCTGTGACCTGCAGAGGGAGCAGTCGAGTTGTTTTTAAAGCAGCACACTGACATGTCAAAGTGAAAAACAGTAGCAGTACATTCAAGCCCTCAAGTTTAGAAAATTAACCTTCCGTATCATTTTCTATTTTGTTAAATAATGCTGCAGGTTTAGAACATAATCATTTATATAAACGTATTGATATAATCAATTTACTGTTCAAGGTTTCTTCACATTTTTCCTAATTGGTTTTGAGAACTTCTTGCAAATAATGAGGATCTAATTTTAGTGCTGAGGGGAATAACAGACGTATGTGGTAATTCTCTGTAGGTGTTTGTCACACTGGGAAAATAAACCAAAGCTTATGACATCAATAGCTGCTCCTTGTACCTATGTAGTCGAAGCTGCCAGGTGCCAGACGCTCAGGTAAATGTGTGGCAAACAGAAAGCCTGTGAGGAAAGCCAAGGCGATGTGTTTGCAGTGGAGGATGTTTGTGTCATTGTCTGTACAGCCCTCTCCTACACACAGAAACACCTGTAAATAAAAAACACACAGAACAAATTAAAGTGTTACATCCATTATTACTATTTTCTTCACCATGAGGCATAAACTCCTTTAAAAAGTAGCTGCTAGTTCTCTCTCCCATGAAACTGATTGAAATGTAGCACTTGAGTACCACACTTCCTCACAAGTAAACCTCAGGCTGATTAGAATCAATAGGACATGTATGAAAGGTATGTAGACACTTAAGAAGGTAACATTTTTTATCTAAGTTCGTGTTAGCGTTTTCCAAGGAGCAATAGCAAGCATCCTGAGTCCTTACTGGAAACATTAAACAACTCTAAACCCTGTGCAGTACTACGACAATAAATGCATCTTTAACAATAAAACTGTGCCTCCTGTCTCAATGCTGAAAAATAAAATGTTAACTTTTTCACTGTAAGACTGGATTAATATCATAACAACGTAATTTCCAATGTGCATTTAAAAAATGCAAACCTGCTGCTCATACAGTGATTAAATTATATCAGATGATATGAATGTATAAATAACCATTGCCATGGGCATTAACACACTATAATTTATATGAAAGTGTAAGCATTGAGCACTAGAGTCGATGATCTGCCCTGAATGAAAAAAATGTAGGTCCTTAATGTTTAGCGAAAATGTCATTCCAGTTAAAGATTAACCATGTTGTTAAATATGAGTTTTATCTCTGACACTTTAGAGACACAAATCCTTTCAGGTTTGTCTTTTGTAAAGACACATGTGTGAGGTAAAGAGATGTGGACGTACCCTGTAGAACAGAGGAATGTTGACAAACAGGTAGGGGTAGGCAAAGGCAACAACACGGAGGTATTTGCTGAACTTTGGACTCACAGGAAATCTGAAAAGAATTGAATAATTTGTTGTTAATTACACAGTCAGTTTAACCCGTTAAAAAACATGTTCAGCCACGCTAACCGGCTCAGCTGGAACTAAAATATAATTGGGGAATCAGTTTAGGGGTTGTCTCTATACTGTAGTCACGATAGGGTGCACCCTTTGTAACAGAGAACTCATGAAAGTCAACAATGTCTCTGGGATGAAGTCCATCTGAAGACATGTCAATACTCACACGTGTTAAATCAACATGCTCAATCAACATACATTAAGATGGAATAGTGAAACTATAGGATGAGCAGAATTCTTGCCAAATGCATTGTCTTTACCTCTTTACGATGTCATTATTATATTGCAGAAATGGTAAGCCAAGCCTTAGCAGCGGGGAGAGATGAGTGAAAGATCAATAAATTAGTTATACTGAGAAAACAATCATTCAGAGAAGAGATAACAGTGCGGAGAATGTGACAATGGTTGTTGAGTATAGAGGGTGTTGTATTGATACTGAATGGGTGAGAAAGGTCACACAAAGTTTTGATTTCCCAATTTCCCAGTTTCATTGTATAATAAAATAATTCTTGATCTTGATGAAAGCCATTCACCCAGTCTTGCTTTTTTTGCCAACCAAGGTATGGTGGGATTTATCTCACACAGGAATTCACAAATATCTGAAACCAGTAACAAAATATGCCATACAATAGGACAGTGGTGAAAAGCAAAATACTTAAGTAAAACATTGGTACAATATCCAATTTTAGATTTTCTGATTACTTATATATCTTCTCCACTCATTGTAAAAGTATTTTTACTCCACTGCATTTATTTGATACCTTTAGGTACACATTACTTTGCATATTCAGATTATTAATGTAATATCATTAGTAAGTATTTCTACACTGTACTATTGCTACTTTTAATTAAAGAGACAGTGTACAGGATTTGGCAGGATGTAGCGTTGCATTTACAGATTGTAAACAATTGAATACCCCCACTCACCCCTTCCTATACAAGCCTTCAGTCATTTACCATTCAGACAAACAAACGCTAAGCTCTGTGACTTAAAATTGGGGATAACTGATGTTAGCTTTTTGTCAGGAAAATGCAGGCTCATTATGTTCAACTTTTGTTCTGATTGAAAACATTTAGATTGATTATTCTCTGTGTAAAGTTACTGATCTCAACATACCTGGAGTAGCAGGCCAGGCCGGTGCACACCACAGTGTTGAGCACAGCCATGGGGACGTAGCATTGGTGGAAGAGGCTGTTCACCCACTCGTCCGGGAAAACATAAGCTGAGTAGCTGATTGCAGACCCTGCAGCAGGACACACGACAGTAAGCAATTGTAAACTTGCATTGTGCTGTTAAGCGAAACTGAATGCAATTATTCCCACCAGTTTGAATCAAGGTAACAACATTGTGTGTGGACCTACCCAGGCTGTAGAAACTAAGGGCGCCATAATCGAAGAAGAAGCAGATGTGGCGTGCCCGCTCCGACATGCTGCTGAAGGTGTGAGCACAGCTGGACGCCAGCGGGTAAAAGCAGCAGGAGAGCAGGAAGATGACCAGAGGCCAGGTGAAGAGGTCCTGCCACGCTGTCAGCATCAGCACCACAGTCCCTGTCTTCCATAGGAAATACCTGCAGGGAGAAACAAATAACACCGAGATGATTATATTGGATGGTGCATTTCTGAGTTTTTGTGTGTGTCTTTGTCGCAATTCTGTCATTTAAAATCACTTTTGGAAACCTAATCATCATATCCAACGTCAAGCATTTGGCAGCAATACAAAAAGGATAAGCGAATGAATGTCTAAACATGACTGATATAAAAAAGAAAACACACAAACCACACCAAGTGAATGTTATCAGGGGCTATAGTTTGCCTTGTGTGTCTGTTTCCACACATCTCATTAACAAATCAACATTATTTGTGCGTTTCCCCGTCACTGAGCAGTTAACTAATTGAGACAACTCATATGAAAGCCTCGAGCTCAGATCTGCTCATTAGCGGCTTGCCTGTAGGTACACCGAGCCCCAAGACACAAACAAACACCCATGTGACCGCAGCATATGCTCAACAACCCTACACACCACACACACACACTGACACACGCACACACATACACACACTTTCTCCGTCAACCATACAGTCAAAGCAACTAATCTCAGCAGGAGGAAGTTCAGCAGGGCTCATGGGAGCAGTAACCTCAGTAGTACATCAGGAGACCTACTCTACATAAACACACAGACATGCACAATGAAATAATTGCCTGAGTTAAATCATGTGTTTTACTTTCAATCTTGTCACAAAAGAGAGGAGATGCTAAGCTGAGGGAGGAAGCTGAGCAGCTGACGTGTTGCTTTAATGGAGCTTCAGTTAGAATGAACTAACTGTGTTGAGATGTGGAGTCGGTAGATAAATAAAATGATCCTCATTCTTGCACTTAATAGCTTCAGCCTCTTTCCTTCTTCTTCCTGACACTTTAACTTCCCTGTCTTCACCTGAAGGGGTTGCATCTTAGGTAAAAATTAAGAAGCTGAGAAAACAACTGCAAAGTCTTCCTGAGTTTAATACATTTTAGAAGCAGGTATTGTGTAATCTTAGATTAAAATGTAACCTTACATAAACGCTAACTGTTTTGTATGGGTAACATAAAAGTTGATCATACAAGGGTCACAAAGGTTGTGATACCATTACATAGCACATCACTAAAGCTGTGAACTAAAGGAAGTGTGCAATAACTGTGTGTGTGTGTGACTGTATGGAATATTGAATTCCTTTTCAGGAGCTGCACAGAAAATGTCTTTGTTCGATGTGTGCACTTACAATAAAGTCAGTCCTTTCTTTTCCAAACAGACATCCACTGTAACTTTCCTTAAACTAGTGAAAACAACGCTTCCTGGAGATGTCTAATTTGATGAGGGGGATATTCCCAACAGAAAGCGTAAGTAGAATTATGAATTGATTAAAGAATAAATCAACTGTATGAATGCAGCTGTACTATGAGAGTACATTTGCACAAACACTAGAAAGCACTGCAGGAGGTCTGTTGCACCCACATGGTTGCTGGGATGGATGACCTTAAACACTGTCTTCATGTATAATCCTTCTCATATTACTTGAAGCTGTTGCTACCATATCCAACGGCTTTATTACTGACGTATGTAAAGTCTGCTGCTCTCCCGGCATCCATTTAACTACTTGAAGAGTTCATTTATGTAATAAATATTCGCCGGAATGTATTCACTGACATACACTATGAATGCCGAGCAGACAGATACTGTAACTGTGGGTATGAGCTGTAAAAATTAATGGTAGTCTTCAGACGGTAATGTACCAGAACTGAACTATAAAACCACACAATGAGATTCTGCAATACTCTCTGACCTACAAGTTGAACAAGAGTCCTTTCAACACGAAGCAGGACAAAGAAAACTCTCCCAGCTGAAATTCAAAATCACTAAGGATTTTTAAAAGATACTTTAACTTACTAACTCTTCTGTAGGGAGTTGACTTTTTGGGATAACACTTTTCCTCTCTGGGATTAAGATTGTTCTTGGTTGATGAGTGGTAACCTCTTACATAAATTAAGCCACTTCACAACAGCTCAAAAGGAAAAAAAACTGTACACGCCCTCAGGTGTGTCACATGTGTGTCTTCCAAACACATGTTTATGCGATTTATAATTGCAATGCATAGCAGCAAGGAAAGAATATTTGTCATCTGTACCAGGTGGGTAGGAAGTGGGTCCAGATGTTGAGCGTCTCATTGGTCAGCTGGAAGAGGCTCAGGATGCAGTCAGTGGCTGAGCTGTGGGGGTGTCGGTATCCAGAGACGATGCCGTCCTCGTGGAAAACCTTTAGAGAGAAAACCTTTAGTTTAGTCTGCAGCCAGTTTGACGAGTTTGTTACAACATACATTTCTCCTGCTCTGGGCACAAAATAAATCTCCAAATACATTGCAAATACATAAGATCAGGTAATGCTCAGTGGACCAAGTGTTGCAAGTTTGGGAGCGGGGTGTGGGATCCCCCCAAAGATAAAAATGACGGGTCATAAGGTGACTAAAGGTATAGAAGAAATATATATAAATACATTGAAATGTATTTATATATATTTCTTCTATAACCAATTAACTTGAACCTTTTATGGTTCGTAAATATCTTGCAAATCAAACAATCTGTGAAGGAGAAATCACTCTCTAAACTTTGGTGAGAAGACATTGATTTGTTTCACCGGGGGTTATGAGCTTAAAAAGCTAGAAAAGCTGATTTAAGAATACTTATTTACCTTATTTTGGCAGTTGTTAAACTTTAACCTGCATTCACAGGTAAAACTAATCAATAAGATTTTAGAAATAAAAACAAGTTGTAAATAAAGGTGTGACAGTTTTCTTTCTGTGACTTAAGGTTATTTAAGTCTACCTACCAACCTTAACCTGAACTGAGTCACAGTGTGTGGAAGCCAAAGTGTCATAAATGTTCAGTAAAGATAAAATGAAGATGAACTTACTTTGGGCACTTGATTGATGGTGAAGACTTGCGGTAATTTGATGAGGCTGAACATGATTATTCCTGTTGCTGCTGTCAGAGTGAGAGCAGTAGTGAGGCCAGTGGAGGCGCGTGTCTTTGTCTTTAAAGGTGTGTGTTGCCATGCTGCCCTCCCTTTTCAAACCCAGTGAGAATATCCAGTATACCTGTGCCACTCCTCCCCCTCCTGCTGCCTCTCTAGAGGTAAAGGGTATGTGCACACAGGTGTACAGAAAGGCATGTATACACACACACACACACACACACACACACACACACACACAAAAAACACACACACACAAACAAAAACACACAAAAACACACACACACACACACAAAAACACACACACACACACACACACAAAAAAAACACACACACACACACACACACACACACACACACACACACACACACACACACACACACACACACACACACACACACACACACACACACACACACACAAACAAACAAACAAGACCATTCTATAAGTAGAAGTCAAGTTCTTCTAGAACACACCTTGAGATTACCATTTACAGTAGGAATGTTGTTTCTGAAGCAAAGCTCTCCATAATGTTATTGCATGATCCTCACACAAAGAGATGACAGGCAATCCAGTTAGGCGGGATCGATCAAAAGGATTTCAGAGCTGTGATTTTGCATTAACGTTTGGCAACTGGCGCTGATATTTTCAACCATTTTCCTGCCAGAAACTCAGCCGAGGAGCTGAACCTAACAAGTGCTGTCTGAGTTTCAGCCAGTCCAGATAAAGCCTCACAATGTGACTGAAGGGTGTGAATTGGTCTGGATGATAAGTCAACAGCTTTCCTTTCAGGCACTTTCTTGCTCCTCTCCTGGTTAAACTGCTGTGTCACGTCTGCCCACACATGCCAACAGCAGCCGGCACGCCCTGCAGACCTCCCCGGCAGGTTATCTTGTTCAAACTCCGATGCAATGAAAACAAATTTGCCTTTCCGCCACTGAAGAATTAGGAAGTCAAAAAAAGGAAATGCTGTTTGTGATTTGTTTGAGATTTCATGTCATAAAAAAAGGAAATGCTGTTTGTGATTTGTTTGAGATTTCATGTCATAAAAAAAGGAAAAGGAAATGTTTAAGTTTGGTCTTACTTTGGTGACATCACTTGATACAAATGCTCTTTTGTTTTGATCTCTCTAATATATAACTGAACGTCATGCTGAAGATAAAAGAGAAATCAATGCTTTATCTCGTTTGATAGAAAACCTAAATTATAATGAAATGCTTAGCCCTCAGTTCATTCAAACTCTTCTAAAAGCATGTTGCTAATCCTTAGTTCAAACTCTGATTTTGTAACACCAAAGACATCTCAAAACCTTTAGCTGTGCTTCACTCCAAAACTATTCCAGTAACCCAACTTGTTTTGTTGTTAGTTTCAATCACAGCAGCTCAGTGCCATGACCTATTACTGTAGTACAGCAGAGCACCATGGGATCTCATTCAGCTCTCTCAGAGGAGCAGAGCTGAAAGAAAAAAGCCTGTTTGGCTTGGTTTGGAGTCGGTTAGTTAATATGTAAGTCAGTAAGACATTATGTGACCACAGGGTAAACACAGTCAAGTGCAGAGCGCTGTGAACTGGGGGAGCCAAGAGGATAGAAAACAAGGTCAAGTGACAAGAATTTCTAGGAATATGGTGAAAAAAGTCTCAGCTGAGAGGAAAATATAAGCAAACCTTTTTCGTTTTATAGTTATCTCAAAGTGTTGCTTTTTTAAAATTGGTGTGACCATTTATGGCCTACTCACAACACTACATTTAACAAATCTGTTAACACGGGGTTGAAAGACGAAGCTTCACTGCCCTCTCAGGTTGTTTCAGGACTGTTACACTATACTGACCCCACCCGACCACACACTGCAGCATTACTGATGGGTGTGGTCGGGAGGGGTTAGAAATGTGCTCTGAGGAACTGTGGCCGTTTCTCAATCGCGAGGATATTGGCTTCCAAGCCAATATTTCAAGGATGCTACGTCATCAAGTGGCGCAGCAGGACCGTTCCAATGTCCAGCATACTTGGAATTCCACCGAGGCCGCGTCCTTGGTTTGGGGGAAATTTCGAGGCTGCACATGAGTAGACTTCGCGTCCTTAAAATCCCCACAATGCTTTGCGCACGGACCAATTTCCCCAAATCTGTGGCGGAAAATGTAAGGCGGGGCCTCTCATATGACGCACACCTGCACACTTGCTAGCCTGTTCCACTCTTCGTTTTCAGAATGCCAGGAAGGATTCTTGCCTAGCTTCTGAAGGAAGTGACTAGCAAGTGTGCAGGTGTGCGTCATATGAGAGGCCCCGCCTTACATTTTCCGCCACAGATTTTGGAAATTGGTCCGTGCGCAAAGCATTGTGGGGATTTTAAGACCGCGGAGTCTACTCATGTGCAGCCTCGATATTTCTCCAAACGGAGTACGCCGGGCTCGGTAGATTACCAAGTATGCTGGTGATTGGAACAGTACTTCGGCGGCACTCGATGACGTAGTATGCTTGAAATAGTGGCTCTGCAGCGGCTTTACTCGCGATTGAGAAACACCCCCAGTATCAGCATCGTTCAAGAGAATGCAGGTCGGGCGTGATTTACACCCAATGACATAGCACATTTCGCTACTCACACAACTGATTCAAACAGCTCTGGTTTGCAATGGCTGGTTTAGCTAACTTTGAACAGCTAGTTCACAGGTATAGCAGATTTTTTATGCCATATATGTAACTTTTCTGGACCTCTGTCCTGCTGCTTTTTTTCATAGACGTATATCATGTCTGCATATGTCATGACTATCTTATGCAACCCATGTTGTCGCCCCCTTCTGGGCTTTAGAAATGATGCAGGTTTAAGCCACTTGTGCATGTGCTTCACGTTTCTGACCCAGAGGTTAGAGATCGATTTCACCGAAAGCAACAGTAATGTGACCTTGGGAGGTCAACAGAAATAATATTTAAAGAACATACATTCACTGCTTTAACTCCAAGCTATTTGTGTGTATTATTTGCAGGTAATAATATTTAGTAGGTCTAATTTCCCTCCTATTTTGTAAAACTGTTGTATAAGAAAAATCTACAATGAAACAGCATATCTTATTTTTAAGTTGAATTGAAGTTTATGTGTTTATGTAAAATTATAATATACTTTAAAAATAAAGCTTTAAAGTACATTTTGTAAAATTAATATAATTCCCCCTGAAATATAATCATGTATAAAATCGAAATACTCAGCCATAACATACCTAATTTAACCTAATTACTGTCCATGAATACATCTATTGAGTAATAATTCACAGCTGTGTGTTTTATATCAGTGTCTTATCAACTTGGTCTTCTGAAATCCAAAATGACCAATTTAATGGTTTCAGGGTTATGACCTGATTAAACACACTATACTCAACAGTAAAGGAAATAATAATAAAATAAATGTATCAGTGTTATTTATGAACACAAATGCAGATACTTCAACAAAGGCATGAGGAAATATCATTACGAAGAATCCAATACTTTTAGGGGACACATTTTGTTTCCTTTACTTTGCCATCCATCTATATGAATGAAACATAATAATGAGAATACAATCTGAGTCACAAGTCCTTGTTGCTCCTGTGCCTGCTGACACTTTTACTACTCCATCTCACCACAGGGGGGCAGTGCTCTCACAGAGAAGCCGCACAGGTGTGGCCCTGCACAGGTACTCACTTTAATCATGAAGATGTACACGGAGAAGGAAATGTCTGTTAGTGGTTTATTTTTAAACTTAAAGGTGGGGTATGTAATTTTGGAGAAACCAGCTCGAGTGCGCTAGAACCGGAAAAAATCTGCCTCTTCCTTCAGACTTCCTTACAGAGCCCCTCCTCCAACACACACGAACGCGCACATGACCAATGAGGGCACGAGATAAGTTTGTGCACAGATGGAAGGCTGACAGGCAGGTAGGCCATCCAGTTATTTTAGCCGGGCCGGCTAAAATGATTGGTCGTGCTTTTTACAGTACTACGGCTTCCACAGATCACATTTTTTTATGTATTTATTGTCAAAGCATTTAATATATTCATTGCTATCGGGATGTTAAGAGCATTCCATGGAATATAACAAAAAGTGTTTCTGAAATGAATTACATACCCCACCTTTAATTGAGTCCTCAAACGTACCCAGTTAGATACTCATCATACTTAGATTCTTAAGACTTGCTTTTGATTTTCTTTTTCTAGGAATTAATTTATCATGCTGTGACCTTGGGCTGCACAGATAGTGAATTAAAGAGCACAATGCAGGGATAGAAAGGTCCTGTCGCTCTGCGTGCTTCCTTTATCGACTGTTAATGAGAAAAGTAACACATTTCGCTTCAGGCCATAGCACTCTGTACTATTGGAGCCAAACTGAGCCTCCTGAGTCCTGAATGTTTGTGTAACATCAGCACAAGTACTGAGGAGCTTCTCACATTAAGCATTCATTGAGTGGCTGCTGACGATGCAAACATCGCTTTCTTTAATATAGGGAGCACATTGTTTACCTCAGATGACTTTAAGATTGTCCAAAGGATTATAGCACAAATATTACATTTGAGAACGAACAGCAATTATTAATGTACATATAAAGAGTGATGGGAAGTAACCTGTACTTTAAATGAGTATTTCCAATTTACACTCCACTACATTTGACAGCTGTTACTCTGTAGATTCAGCAGTTTTAATTGGTTCCACCTTTAACCATCTACAACTTTGACAATGCTTCTTGCATGCATGTAACCGTATCAACTATTATAATATAAATAATTCAGACTGCTTTTTTCAGGCTGTCCTCTTCCAAAAAACGACCAAATAGGTTGATTGTTCAGCAGCTTATAAAGACCTATAGTCACGTTTTAAAGTTTAGCACCTCTATTGGTCGTGTAAGAAACAACAATTTGCGGCATATGGGCTGATGCTCCCGTTGACTGCAAACGCTACGGTGGGTTGTATATTCACAAACCCTCTCTGGAAAATCCTAAATTGTAGAATAGTTTGGCCATTAAAATGCTTTTTGATTAGATTTCTAGTGAGAAGTGTATATTGTACTTTTAGAATCCAGGTCCAGTGGATGTGTAGTTTGATAGATATTACGAAGATGATTTGAGGTCTCGCCAGGAGAACATATACTACGTCTTTCCCCTATTCATTTCTATTGACGGCAGCGTCCATGTAA